TTTGGGTAACAGAGGTCAGTCCTTCAATCAGGCTCTGTTGTCTCTCCATGGTTGATTGGATGCTCTGAGTACTGGCTTCAAGGAGTACCAACTTTTGGTAACGCTCCTTGTCCTTTTGAAGAAGATCTAAGGCTTGCGCTTTGTGTTCTGTACAAAAAGTTCCTATTTCCATAAAGCGCTCTGAGGCCTGATCAGCATTCCATTGTAGAATGTCTAAGGCTTCAGTTATCTCCTTCAGTGTCTCGTTCTGATTATTTAGAGATTGGGAGTGAAAGTAGAGGACAGAGTTGATTCCATCTACTTCCCTGGAGACTGCATCAATCTTTTTATTGGATGAGTTCATGAATGCGTGCAGGGACTCTGTCAGAGTGTCAAGCTTTTCTGATAGTTGCTGTAAGCCTTGGTTGAGATTGATGTTGGTGTGAGTTAGATGCTCATAATTCTTGTCATTTATGACTATAAGCTTGTTCATGGTGTCCAGCATCTGGCCACCAAACTCTTCTGCATATTGCACAAACTGGTTGAAGTCTATCTGAGGCTCTTCGGGAGTAAACCCTGGCATCTCCAAACCTCTTCCCTTAGGGAATGGAGTATTGTTGCCAGTGGGTTCAGTAGAATGATCTCTAGGAGGTGTCTTCCTCCTTTTAGATGTGAAATCAGCCGCAAGAGAGGATGTGAGGAATCCATCATTGTCAGCATCTGAGGATAATATGCGGATGGGAATCTTTCTCTTGGGCGTTGAAGCTACAGAGAGCTGAGGAGAGATTTGGGGTGTGGCAGCTCTGGAGTTGAACTTGGGTTTCTGCTGAGGGGGTGAGTTCTCGTGAGAGGGGGTTTTCTGATGGGGAGAGTTCTGATGAATAGGGGATCTCTGATGAGAGGAGCTCAGATGGGTGATGGATTTCAGAGGTTTAGGGGAGGGTGGAGGTGAGGGTGAGCGGTTTCTGGGAGGTGTAGGTTGTTTGCAAGGTGATGGAGACTTTGATTTGGACTTCTGTGGAGTTGGATTTTTGGTGGGGGGTGGTGGAGGAGAGGAGGTTTTCTGTGGTGAAGGGATTTTCTGTTTGAGTGGGGATGGGGATTTTGCAGGAGATTTGGGAGGTGATATGGGTGTAGAGATTTTAGGTGGGGGTGATTGATGAGCAGTAGAAGATTTGGGAGGGGAAGGAGGAGGTGTAGGGATTACCTCAAGAATAGTTTCTGAGAACAAGGATTCTCTCCATTCCTTGATCAGCTTTTACATTGCCAGAGGAAAGTCATTTGCAATGGAGGGTTCCCATTCTTCATGAGCGCTATGGCGAAATTTGATAAGAGATTCCTTCCTCTTCTTCTCAATCAGCCACTCATCAAAGACTGCCATTTCATGCTCCTCCAGGGCTTTGAGACGCTTCTCAGGAGATGATGAAGTCAAAGGTGCTTTACCTTGATGTTTCTTTTTCTTTTTCTGCAGAACAGAGATGAGAAAGGCAAGATCAAAACAGTGGGACACATCTTCTGTGTCTACCCAGTGAAGAACTGCAGCTTCTTCTGCCTCATAGCTGTCAAAATATTGTATTATTTTCTGGAGTAGCCCCATCCTCCATCTTCTCCAGGCTAAGACTCTCTCAAACTGCTTTTGAAGGATTGTATTGAAGTCAGTCTCTGGTGCTCTATCAGAGATTACTTGAGGTTCTGGTAGATCAGCAGTGTTGGGAAAGTCTGATACATAAGAGGGTTGTGCAACAGGTTCAGGTTCCCCCTGAGTTTAAGATCCCTTTGCAGGTGAAACTGCTTTCTTCTTCTTTTTCTTCATGGGTTGGAGACCAGAGTTGTCAGAGTCCTCACTCTGAACAACTATCTTCCTTCTCCTTTTCATCTTCTGCTTCTTAGCAGGAGAAGATCTGATTTGCTTTGGGGGAGCCAACTCTGATGCGCCCGTCTCTGGTGCATCCACTTCTGGTAAAATCCTCCTATCATTCTTCTTCTTCTTCTTCTTGACATCCCTTGCAACCTGCGACTGCTCAGGTTGTTCTGAAGTCACAGTGGGCTTCTTGGAGGTCTTCCTGGGAACAGGTTTGGGTTTCACAACATGTTGTTCCCTCTTTTTCTCTAGTCTTTCCTCTCTTTTCAACTCAGCAGAGATGGCTATATTCAACTTAGGAGATGCAGTGAGAAAGATGGTTTTGGAGTGGTCAACTGGGGAAGGGTCCCTGAGTTGAACTCCATGTGCAGTGAGGATGGCAGAAAGAAGAAGACCATGGCCCATCTTCATTGAGAAAAGGCCTATTTTCTGATCCTTCTTCTTGATAAATTCAGTTAAGGAACCGAAAATTACCTCGCCCCAGTTTATATTCATGCCGTGGTGAACGGCAAAGATTGCTTTGCAGTTGGCTTTGTTTATTTCGTCTGTTGAGCCAGATTTGCACCACAAGCTCCTGTGCAAGATGCTAACCAGCTTCTCATAGTCCTTCTTCAGTAAGAACTTCTTCATGTACAGTCTGTCTAGATTGGCGGCCTCAGGGCGGCAATAGGTCTGTGCAAATGCTTCTACAGAGACATCCACTGACTCCAGGTCAATGAGAGTAAGGGTTTCAGGGTCTTGAGAGTCCAGTTGGACTCCAAAGAATTCGTTGAGGGTATCTGCATTGAGAGTGATGCTTTTTCCCTGCACCTGGGAGTGAACTCCGTTCTTGGTGATGGTGGCGTTCAGGTAGAACTCAGCCACATCTTTGGTGCTGAACTCTTCGTAAGGATGAGCAACGATCTTGCTCAGTTGAGACTCATTCATCCCTTGGATGATTCTTGCCATCCGTTTCTGGTTCTCTGCTAGTAGTGGTAGTGCTGACATGTACACCTTCATGCCAGTCACAATATTGGCAACAATAGCCTTGCTAATCTCGCCACTTGAACGCCCATGCTTTCCACTTGTTGATGTCATACTCAAGCATTTAATGCTCCTTACCACCTGCAAGTTGTCTGTTGCCCGAACGGAGTGATGGTTTATGCCGAAAACATCATTAATCTGGCCCAAGTATCCTCTTTAACCCAATCCCCGTTCGGTACGCATATCTCACTGGGCCTGCTCTTCGTCTGGATTCTAGGCTAACTACTGGACTGGATATTTTGGGCCTTTGGCCTGGGTATTGGGCCTTCGGTCCAATATCCCAACACGATCTTTAAATCTAACAGGTACAACAGTTAAGTTATAAGTATTATTCCAGCGAATAGACAAATCTTTAGGAAATTGACCATATTTCACACGTCTGTCCCTCAAATATTGACGCCATTGCATTTTTAGTGGATTGCTAGCCCAAATAAGTCTAATTCCCCCTTTCACTATCTTCATAACATTTCCTAACGCGGCTAGTCCGTCTTTTACACATAAATTGAGAATATGACATGCACAACACTGATAAAAAAACCTACCCAGAATCGGCTGGTCTCAAATAAATAATTAGCGGGTTCTAATATGATACTAGGAACCGGTAGGGATGGACTAGGACCGGTTCAAATCGGGCTCTGGCCTAAAAATTCCAAGCCCGGTACCAGCCCAGATTTGTACCGGGGCTGGGCTGGGCCTAAAAAGTACCAGGTCGGGTAAGGCTTCGGGACATGACTGGACAATAAATTAAAAAAATACTACCATAAGGGCCAAGACTGGACCGGGCCCAGCCCGGTCAGGCCCAACAAACGAGCCTGAAGTCCGCTCTTGTAGCCACCGAGCCGGGTTGGGACCAGGCCTAAACGGTACCAGGCCGACCCGTCCAAGTCCATCACTAGGAACTGGGTCCATTCATACTTGTGAGTTGTGACAGGTAGAAGGTGAAAAAAAGTCCATAAAAATTTTAGAGAGGAGAAGAAATAATCGTAGAAAAATAATGTACCAAAAATGAGTAAAAGTTCACAACATCTATGATTTAAAAATCATAAGAATGATTGATAATTTGAATATAATTAGATTTTTTAGTTTTTTTTACAAATTTGCATTCAATGCATCCCATTTATTAGTTTATTTCAATATTAATCGGATGATACAACAACGAAAACATTATCCTAGTGTATTAAAGACTCCAACCTGCGGTGAGATACGAGGTTCGAGTGTGCGTATTCCTACCCCTGTACAAAAAGATAGAGAGGTCGTTTTCGGACGACTCGTGATAAAAATCGTTTTGAAAATTACATGAACTGATTATTACTACGTAAAAATGGATGGTATTCAAGATTTTTTTAAAATTATCTTTTTAAAAGATGAATTATTTAGGAAGATTATTGAAAAAGAAAATTTGATATCAAGATTTAACTCCGAATTATTTTAGATTATCATGATGAGTTATGAACTTTGAGATTATGTAAAATTTATTGAAAAAATATGATACGATAATAATGTGGAAGAGAAAAAACTATTTATTTAAAAGACATAAATGAAGATGCTCTTAAAATTCAGACTTTTAGGAAAATATTAAATAACTTGTTTATACAATATATCTCTTTGAAATTTATTTAATAAATATTTAAAAAAATATTCAAATATTTTCCTTGAGGAAAACATAAAGTTAAAAACGTTTGTACTTTTTTTTGAAAGGAAAACTAATTCATTAATCAACTCAAACTCTCAGTGTGAAACTGAAACGTTTGTACATTCTAAAATAAGATTATCATGTTCATATTTCCAAAATATTACTAGTATTAATTATTATCATATTTTGGCAATATCAGACATTAAAAATGATAGTATTTTTCAAGCTTGACCGTAATTAGGAAAACTTGACATTCCTATTTTAGGAACAAAAATTCATATTTTGAGAGAAAACATGATATTCCTATTTTATAATTTTCCATTTTTTTACTCATATATTTTCCGGATTAATTTTGTAAACCTAGAAAATTCCGTTGACTAAAGGTTGATTGGAAACTAGGACTACTAGCCCCAACATGGTATGGGCTTCCTTTTCGGTCGTACAGAATCTCGACCGCCCCCTTCTTTTTCTCATCATCCCTTCGCCTCTGTATAAATTCTCCCATGTCGCTGTTTTTTTCCTCATCATATTCTTTTGCTGTCTTTAAGGTTGTCTGCCGGCACACTGTCGCAGTTCCAACATCATGTCTTCACGCGCCCCGGTCACCGTCCGGGAAGTTTGGGCACACAATCTCGAATCGGAAATCCAAATCATCCAAAATCTCGTCGACGCTTACTATTACGTCTCCATGGACACGGAGTTTCCCGGCGTAGTGTTCAAGACCCAAAGTTCATTCAGAGCAGGGAAGCAGCGGCAGGGATCCGCCTTGGAGCAGTACCGGCTGCTGAAACTGAACGTCGACGCATTGAATATCATTCAGATCGGGCTGACCCTGTCCGACACGGAAGGGAACCTCCCCGACGTGGACGAATCCGGCGGCCGGTACATCTGGCAGTTCAACTTCTCCGACTTCGATTTAGCGAGTGACCTCCACGCGCCGGACTCTGTCCTGCTCCTCCACGGCCACGGCATCGACTTCAACCGGACCCGGGAGCTCGGGATCGACTCGGCCCGGTTCGGGGAGCTGATTATGTCATCCGGTTTGATCTGCAATGAGTGGGTGAGCTGGGTGACTTTCCACGGCGCGTACGACTTCGGCTACTTTGTGAAGATTCTGAAGCAATCGCCGCTGCCGGATCGGTTGGAAGACTTTCTGGGAAATCTGGGCGCGTTTTTCGGAAGCAGGGTGTATGACGTCAAGTACCTGATGAGATTTTGTGAGCAGCTCTCCGGCGGGCTGGACCGGCTGGCCAAATCACTGGACGTGGACCGGGTGGTAGGGCAGTGCCACCAGGCCGGTTCAGATAGTCTCTTGACATGGCATGTCTTCCAAAAGATGAGGGATGTCTACTTTCACAATGGTGGGATGGAAAAGTTTATTGGTGTGCTATTTGGATTAGAATTCGATTGAGCACATATAATTGTAGTCGTATTTGGATTATATATGTAGTATTTTTTTTTTAATTTTTTTGTTCTACTAATAGTAGAATGATAGTGGTGGTGGATGGCAAAAAATCTTATTTCACGCGTTAGTCACGCTTGGCAAAGTAGAACATAGGTGTATATTACCGAGTTGTAAGGAGTATTCCTTGTAGTGCCGCTGCTCATGCAAGCTTCTCCGCCCCACACCGTCACCCCCACTCTGTCTCGTCACCCGCAGCATTGTCCACAACCGCATCCTCTACCCCCGACCATAATCCCTTGTCATGTCGCCCAGTTTCACCCATGTTGACCTTGCCAGCTCTTTGCCTAACTCCCTGTCTCCTTCAATTCCGACAATGCCAGATCCTGTTTCCCTAGCCGATGCACCACCCTCCCCTTCACAGTTGCTTGTTAATGTCTATCCTATGCGTACCCGTGCTAAGGATGACATTTTTTAAACCCAAACCTATTTTTAACATGAGTGTGTTGTCTCCACCGGATGATCCTACTTGTTTTTCATAGGAAAATAAATCTTTTGTTTGATGGGCTGCCATGATTGATGGGTTTAATGCTTTAATCAATAATAAAACTTGAGATTTGGTATCTTGGGACCACACTCAAAGTGTGATCAGTTGTAAGTGGATATATAAGACAATGTATCGGTGTGATGGATCTATTGAGCGTCATAAGACTTGTTTAGTTGCTAAGGGATTTAAACAGCAGGCTGGGATTGATTTTACTGAAACATTTAGTCTTGTGGCTGGTTAAACCTACTACTGCTCGTCTAGTTCTTTCTGTTGCAGTTTGTTTGGGATGGCATGTTCAACATGTAGACGTTAAAAATGCATTTTTACAACCAACCACATTTCGTTTGTGCTCTAGATTTTGTTCATCCTTGTTTTCCTAATCAAGTGTGTCTCCTTCGGACGATGCTTTATGGTCTTAAGTAGGCTCCTCGTGTCTGGTTTCATCGATTCAATGACATTTTATTAAGTCGTGAAATTTTTCAAAGTAAATCTCATTCCTCCATGTTTATCTATCGTTTGCAATCACAGATTGTTTATATCCTTCTCTATGTGGATGATATCTTAATGATTGGATCTTCAATGTCTTTTTTTGGTCCATCATACACACTTTGTGTCTCTAGTTTGACATGAAGGATTTAGGGGTCGGGATGAACTGGGATGAGCCTACCCGACCTGCTATCTGACACGGCCTGGTTGACTGGGACCGGACCCAGGCTCGAAACTTGACCCGGTTGTTGAAGCAGACAGGCATCGGGCTTAGCTTTTAGTGGACTGATCAGGCTGGGCCTAACGGTCAACAATTCATTTTTTGGCTTTGAATGCTTTGGGTTGGCTGCTAGCCGTTGCCAACGGCTATAGAGCCGATGGGGGTGGGTCTGGACGAGTTGGGGGGTAAAAAAACTATAAATACACCTATTTTCTAATCATTTTCCTACACTTATTCTCCAATTCTTCCTACTCTCTAATCAACCTCATCTAGTCATCTTCATCTTCTCGAATTCTCTCTACACCTATTATATATATATATATATATATATATTATATTTATTTAAATTAGTTATACAATTATTATATTTACTTATATACTTATATACTTATATTATATCAACTTATATATTTATTATCTATTTAATATCTACTTAGATACTTATTATCTACTTATATTTACATATATTATATCTACTTATATATTAACTATATATATTAAAGTATTAAACATTAGTGTACTACTCATCTTTTTAGAGATATTTTATGTTGTGATCAATGTTTATTATTATTAGCCTCTTGTTGTATTTTATCTAAGTATTAAATGGCTCTAGAATAGCTAAAGTATGCAAAGGGGAATATATGGGCCTCCTTGATTTAAGGGTCCAATCATTGTGACTTACTCATTCCCTAGCCTATTATCAATATGCCTTTAAGGGAGTGGAGTAGGTAAACCTTTTATACCTGAAATATTCCACATGCGCAGACATAGATAGAATAGAGAAGTTTTTACGCTAACATTTCTTCATCATTGTGTAAACTTCATCTATCAATGGAAGATTTCTTCTACACCTTTTAGAGTTCCAATTTCATACATTTCTGTAGTAGAAACAGGGACACAACATCATGCATCGGAGCCGGAAATGAACGACAGATTGACGTTGAAAATTTTGCTCGTGCGCGAACTCTCTCTGCTTCTTGTGCGAAGTTTTTGCTGCTTCTGTTTGATATTTTTGCAGGTTAAAAAGTCAAAAATGAATTGATGGATAGTGTACCGGGGTAGCTTATCCAAAGGGTTATTACGACTAATAACTTAGAGAGAGGTCAGAGCAAGTAAGAGAGAGAAGGAGTGTATATTCGATATAGAAATTGTGTGTCGATTACAAGGGAAAACGGCCGCTATTTATAATAGCCATAAATTTTAGGCAGGGACATGTGTAAAACATCTGACGGCCGAGGGTCACCTCAATCAAGGTGGCACCGACATTTGCATGTGCACTGCATTAAATGCGGTGGTTAGACGTGACGCCGTATTAAATGCGGTGGTTGACTGTCTCTAAAAGGAATCTTCGTTGAGTTTGCTGTATACCGAAGGCCTACGTGTGGCCGCCGACATCATATGGCTTGAATGCATCATGTGGCCGAAGGCAACACAGAGCTGAAGGCTACTGTAGCACTTGAGATTTAATTTAAATGGATTAATAGTACTACTCATACCAACAAGGTGCATCTCCTTTTAAGGGAGCTCATTAGCCAAGAACTCCAAAGTTAAGTGTGCTTGTACGGGAGTAGTCTTAGGATGGGTGACCCCTGGGAAGTTTCTCAGGGCGCGCACGAGTGAGGATAAAGTGCGCGGAAAAGGCTAGTGGCGGTTTGTGAGGACAGTACTAGAGGTCAGAAGTAACTACCTCGGAGCCTATGGGGCCGGAGTTGTAATACCCGAGATTAATTTAAGAGGATTAATAGTACTACTCATACCAACAGAGGTGCATCTCCTTTTAAGGGAGCTCATCACCCAAGAACTCCAAAGTTAAGCGTGCTTGCACGGGAGTAGTCTTGGGATGGGTGATCCCCTGGGAAGTTTCTCAGGGCGCGCATGAGTGAGGACAAAGTGCGCGGTAAAGGCTCGTGGTGGTTTGTGAGGACAGTACTAGAGGTCTAGAGTAACTACCTCGGGTCCGTGTGGGGCCCCGGGGTGTTACAGGTGGTATCAGAGCAACCCTGCGACAGTGTGCTGACCCGTTAGATATCGGGCGGGCACTTAGCGGGGCAAGATTCTGGGGTTTTATTGAGATTGGTTTAAGGGCGCAACGAGGACGTTGCGATCCTAAGTGGGGGTGATTGTAATACCCGAGATTAATTTAAGAGGATTAATAGTACTACTCATACCAACAGAGGTGCATCTCCTTTTAAGGGAGCTCATCACCCAAGAACTCCAAAGTTAAGCGTGCTTGCACGGGAGTAGTCTTGGGATGGGTGACCCCCTGGGAAGTTTCTCAGGGCGCGCATGAGTGAGGACAAAGTGCGCGGTAAAGGCTCGTGGTGGTTTGTGAGGACAGTACTAGAGGTCTAGAGTAACTACCTCGGGTCCGTGTGGGGCCCCGGGGTGTTACAGGTGGTATCAGAGCAACCCTGCGACAGTGTGCTGACCCGTTAGATATCGGGCGGGCACTTAGCGGGGCAAGATTCTGGGGTTTTATTGAGATTGGTTTAAGGGCGCAACGAGGACGTTGCGATCCTAAGTGGGGGTGATTGTAATACCCGAGATTAATTTAAGAGGATTAATAGTACTACTCATACCAACAGAGGTGCATCTCCTTTTAAGGGAGCTCATCACCCAAGAACTCCAAAGTTAAGCGTGCTTGCACGGGAGTAGTCTTGGGATGGGTGACCCCTGGGAAGTTTCTCAGGGCGCGCATGAGTGAGGACAAAGTGCGCGGTAAAGGCTCGTGGTGGTTTGTGAGGACAGTACTAGAGGTCTAGAGTAACTACCTCGGGTCCGTGTGGGGCCCCGGGGTGTTACAGGAGTGTTACAAATGGTATCAGAGCAACCCTGCGACAGTGTGCTGATCCGTTGAATATCGTGCGGGCACTTAGCAGGGGAAAAGATTCTGGGATATGATTGAGATTGGTTTATGGGCGCAACGAGGATGTTGCGTTCCTAAGTGGGGGTGATTGTAACACTTGAGATTTAATTTAAATGGATTAATAGTAGTACTCATACCAACAAGGTGCATCTCGTTTTAAGGGAGCTCATTAGGCAAGAACTCCAAAGTTAAGCGTGCTTGCACGGAAGTAGTCTTGGGATGGGTGACCCCTTGGGAAGTTTCTCAGAGCGCGCACAAGTGAGGACAAAGTGCGCGGAAAAGATTAGTGGCGGTTTGTGAGGACATTACTAGAGATCAGGAGTAACTACCTCGGGGCTTACGGCACCGGGGTGTTACAAATGGTATCAGAGCAACCCTGTGATAGTGTGCTGATCCGTTGGATATCGGGCGGGCACTTAGCAGGGGAAAAGATTCTGGGATATGATTGAGATTGGTTTATGGGCGCAACGAGGGCGTTGCGTTCCTAAGTGGGGGTGATTGTAACACTTGAGATTTAATTTAAACGGATTAATAGTACTACTCATACCAACAAGGTGCATCTCCTTTTAAGGGAGCTCATTAGCCAAGAACTTCAAAGTTAAGCGTGTTTGCACGGGAGTAGTCTTGGGATGGGTGACCCCCTGGGAAGTTTCTCAGGGCACTCACGAGTGAGGACAAAGTGCGCGGAAAAGGCTAGTGGCGGTTTGTGAGAACAGTACTAGAGATCAGAAGTAACTACCTCGGGGCTTACGGGGCCGGGGTGTTACAGCTACATACAGTCGAGGGCATGGAATATCTGAAGGCTAACAATTTAGCCAGAATTTTCCAGAAGCTTTGCAGGTCCACTTCAAGTTGTCTCCTAGAATTTAGAGCGTTCGGCCACAGGGCTGAAGGCACCCGTATGTGCACCGTGGGTTCTTCATGCTTGAACCGTTACATTTGGGCTGTGTGTGCTCATCTTTTTTAATGGGCCTGTGTAGGAGAAGTAGGGGTATGTGGGCCGGGGTCCCTGGGCCATATACTCCATCAGGAGTCCCTCACTCTTTAATAGAGTATATATTCTAGAGAGAAATGAAAGCTAGAGAGAGAAGTGCAATAAGTTCTGTAATAAATGATTTCTCAACCCCTACAACTACTCCTAAGGGGAGTATTTATAGAGGAAATGCGGGCTGAGCTCCCAAGTCTTGGGCTTGGGAGGCACTACTGGGCCGATTACAAAGTATGTAGAAATGACTAAGTATGAAATCCGGCTCTGTGAGCTCTCTGTGGCCGACGAGGGTCTGGCCGATGGAGCCACGGCCGACGGAGACCCGGCAGATGGAGACACCTGGTTTTCCTGGCTTCTGGATCATGTTCTGAGTTGATATCTTTCTGGCCGATACAGGCCCCATTGAGTGACTGTTGTGCCTCTTATTCTTCTGAGTATGTGGGTCCTGGGGTTTAGACCCATATACTCCATCAGGAGTCCCCCACTCTCTGAGCTGAGATGCAGATGAAGTGAGGGAGAGTAGATTCCGTGGTCTCGATGTTTCTGGCCGATGAGGGACCGTTGCAGACATTCTCTGTTTTGGCCATTATGGGCGTTCTCTGTTCTGGCCGTTGTGGCCATTTTGTGTTTTTGTTATTCTTTATGTTTGGCGGTTGTAT